GTTTTATTAAGAATGAGGAACGAGTGACAGATGATGGCAGACGATAAGCCCCGGGTTCCTGAGGATGTCTAATAACTTACCCCCAGCATTGAATGTAAATAAAAATATTGCGGACAAAATTTGTACTTGTAATAGGATTGAAAAAAGATGGCTCCACTTAATGTCAGGTATATCATCTGAAAATGAAAAAAAAGAAAAAGTAAGAAACAATGAGAAATGAGAAATGAGACAACATAAATTAAATGATATTGAAAATTCTATTTGTTTGTTCAATTGTTCGTTCTCATTTTCGCTGTATAGTACCACACAAATCTATAATACTCTACGATATTGACCAGCAGACATCACACGTGCTGCCACGCCTCCGGGTCGTGTCACAGTCGATTGAGTAAACTCCGTCAATTTATCAGCGTTATCATCAACCCATCTTGTTATTAATCTTCATTGTGGTTTGTTTYCTCTCTGCTCTGGCGCGCTGATCATTTCCGTCGTGGTCAGAAGAACAACTTTTTATTGTGGTAGCAACTCAAGAACAATTTTCAAAATATTGTAAACAACTTAACAAGAAATGAAACTATTATAAGAAACAGTGTAAAAGTTATGATATCATTTAAAGAGTTTTTGATGAAAGATTTTATTCGTAGAACGAGAGAGAWCCTACTCATTTCGGACTGGTAATCAGAATTGTGACAACTGACCAACGTTGCTCATTGTTAAAGCTAAAAGATGATTGTTTATCGATAAATAAATTTGCTTACCCACGGAATGAGCCTTGAAATCATATCCCTAGTTTTATTACAGATCTTTGCCATTCCAGCCATACAGTGATCTTTGTTATCAGTCTTTCTTCTCAGRCAACGTTGAAAGATGCCAACAAGCTCTTGATGGTAGGAACCTATATTGCTTACATCAATCTAACGCTGTCGCGAGTGAAAKGCATTCTGGTATTTTTAATGGATTGATGAATGAAAGTTAATTATTGTATAATCCAATGGGATATTTCCGGGCGTTACCGAGTCCATCCTAAACCTTTTGTCTTCGATCATTTAGGTTATGCCAGGATGTGACGTAAGCTGTGATCGTTGGGTGTGAGCCATAGTGAGCGCAKTGGATAGTTCGGAGAGTTATCGGCAAGTAATCGGAATGCCTTCGCGAGACCAGCGAATGTCAATTATACGATGCGATCGTAATCTTATTGTGATTATTGTTATAAGAAAAAAACATTGCTGATAATTTTTGCAGAATTTAATTGAAAATTTCATTGATCACAGTGACATGATGACAGTAAAAAGCTTAATAAGGTAATCACTATCACCGTCACACAATCACAGTCAACTCCCCCCGGTCACATAGTCGTCGCACTATGACACATCACATATCACAGTTACGTTTTGGATGTAACGCAACTCCAGACAATCAAAGTAACTGCATCAATGTGTCGCTGTCACGAAACCACAGTCTGAAGTTTTCAAATTTTATTATCAATTATATTGCAATCTATGATACATTGGAATAACGTTATTTCTTGATTTGTGCACATKYTCTTAYAATAGAGTGCTCGCACTAAATGCGTGAAATATAAAYACTACAAAATAGGTGATAAATTATACAAATTCCTTTGTTTCCTATTTTATAATCAACACTATTTAGTAGTAATTAGTACTATTTGTTTCACGCTTTAAGTGCGAGMACTCKACTGTTAATGCTGCTTATAACGGTCTTTGCTGGGGGTAATCACAAATGAGTATCGAATTCTTCACAAGAGGGTTTGTCCTCTGAGGATGGAACGTTATCWAGCATGGTAGGTYCTCTATTTGATGKTACGCTATTGTWATCAGCTTCAGTGTCCCTTTCTAGTTCATTCCCATGAAGTGGATTCAAGTCCCTTTCGGGTGTAGCATTACAATCATCATTCATGTTCTTAGGTACATCACTAGATGGGTCACCATCAGAATGACCAGGAATGTTCCCTTGAGGGCTAGGGACATCATCAGGAGGTCCCACTGAGCCATTACGATGTATTTGTACATTAACAATCATGCGCGTAACTACATAGGTCCCATCGTCTCCATCAGTGTCGGACTTCTCACGTTCCTTATCAACGCTAGCTTGCGCGGATGACTTGGCTATACAATTTACGATGATGTCGCTGTTGTTGTTGTCAGAAGTACTCGGAGTTTTCTCTATGTCACTGTTCTTGCTGTCAGAAGTACTAGCAGTTTTCCCTGTATCGTTGTTCTTGTTGTCAAAAGTACTCGCCGTTTTCCCTGTATCGTTGCTCTTGTTGTCAGAAGTACTCGGAGTTTTCTCTATGTCACTGTTCTTGCTGTCAGAAGTACTAGCAGTTTTCCCTGTATCGTTGTTCTTGTTGTCAAAAGTACTCGCCGTTTTCCCTGTATCGTTGCTCTTGTTGTCAGAAGTACTCGGAGTTTTCTCTGTGTCGCTATTCTTGTTGTCAGAAGTACTGACCACTCTCTCTGTGTTATCATTGTAGGTAACAAAGGAAGATTTCATATTGACTGCAACTGATTTTTCTATTAAGTCTGAGCTAGGGCAGCTTGTTTGCTTTGTTGTGCCTTCTGTTGTCACATCATCAATGGTACATGCTCTTGATTTTTTTAAACTCCTTTCCTGTTGACCTTGTATAGATGTAACTTCAGGTTGTTCAAAGGTAGCACCATCCTTTCTTTCTTTCTTAAGTTTTTTCATTTTAATAAGCAATCTGCCATTTCTATGATGTGTGTAGCCATGATAGGCAGCAAAGTCAAGGTAAGCATTCCTAGAAAAAGGGTGTTTTCGTAATTGAACCAAAGATCGCTTGAAGGCCTCAGATCGTGTAAAATAGATCACAGGCATAATGCTACTGGACAGGAATAGACAGTAATAAGCCATGAAAGCAAACCATCGGTTCCCCTCGACTCTATCATCCACGGCAATGTAGCTGTACACAGAGGCTGGGACCTTGCAGAGTGTTTGAACGACCATTATTATAAACAATGTGTTCACGGCTTTGGAGTTGTTCTTGATTCCTTTCCCAAAGACCTTCATACCATATCGTACAGATACGTCGTTCCTGCTTTTGATAATGAAATAATTGGTCATTAAGATCAGAACAACTGCTGCAGCCTGGGAACTTGGAATTACAGTTTTCCAGATTATTTGACTTGGTCCAAACAAAAGTCTTTGGTAAGCCTCGTCAGAGACTGTTTCCTCATCGGACTTGTAYTTTGGTATGGAAAACACCAACAGCAATCCCAGTATGGCAGCCCACTTCGATACAATGACAACTATGATRTTGTTATGTGTTTTGTTCCCTGTAAACCGCCTGCCAAACAAAATTGCTAGAAAGCAGTCGAAAGAAAGCGCCAGTTGGGTAAAGAGATCGTTGATAAGAAAGAATCGATGAAACAACATGGCGAACCATCGCGTTTGACGATCAAGATTTTTCTTTTTTGTTAGTAGAAAAAACTCCATGAAGATTGGGACATTAACTACCACGTCCAGGAACTCGACGATGGTCAGGTCAATAAGGAGATAGTTTGTCAATGTTCGCAGGCGCCTGAACCGTGTKAAAAGAGTCAACRTACTTCCATTRGTCAAAATACCAAAGAGCAACAGGATGGAGAGAAAGGACACTTGAAGTTTGATTCTTAACTCGCTGGTTGGGCCTATCATGTAGTCATCATCAGTACCGTTTGCCATGATTTTCACATGTAACCCCTCTTTATGATCGTTCTACTGGCTGACTTGATAAAAATACTACGTGTCCTTCAAAACTGAAATTTGAATTTTTMAAAAAATTTGAAAGACTTCTGTAAATTGATTGGATAGGCTGTTTTAATGGACGCAAGTACACTAATTAAACTTTTTCGTGGTTAACTCTAAGAGTTCACCGTCACACCTAATGAAACTATATGAAGGAAGCACTCTGATTGGCTTACGCAACTGACCAATCAGCTGTATCGATGAGAATCTACATCCACACCTCTGATTGGCCGATTTAACTGACTGATCATCTATTACGTAAATGAAGGTTCAAAATACACTATTTATAGAAACTATTTGATTGGCTCGATGTAATTGACCAATCATATTAGGTTCAAAAAGTCACGCCCAAAAACTTCAGGTCCCTGATTGGCTGATTTGACTGACCAATCAAAGACGACAATAAAGGGCATTGCCTGAAAAATACAACAAAATCACTCCAGTTGCCTGGCAACATTACTGCTAAACAAGCAGGAAAAAGCGATGCTGCGCGTTTTTACCACCAATGCATCAACCTGTTCCGCAGCAAAATGAGCTGTTACAAGTTGAAATAGTTTGCAGCAAGAAAGACCTTCAAATTTTTCTTACGTTCCCCCGAGCGACGCTGTACGCATTATCAACCTAAAGCCAACTTGTTCCGCATGATGACACCCTAACGTTAATTTACATTTCTTGATATCAGACGATCACAGAGATCACACGACATTACTCAACTTGTAAAAACTCACTTTTCTGTATGGGAGTAAACTATCTCTATTCTACACCATTAGGATTGACTCCTTTCATTCAAGACATCGCACATGTTCTTTGATGATTTTAATAGAGAAAGTCAGACATAAACAGTTTGTAAAAGGCAAAAAAAAGACAAAAAATGACATAAAAAAGGCAATGAGGACATGATTATATTAGATATTCCCCGCAATGAGATCAATTAACGGCACCCACATTGATCACACTAACCTCRGTCCCAATCCCATCTACTAATCCCTTGGTCACTAATGTTTGAGTGTCACTGGGTTCTAGTGGTTCAGGTGATGGATTAGCTTCCCTAGGGACCCCTCCCTCTTGTCCATTTTCTATGTTTGATACCAATGTACCAACAGTATGTGCATTGTCAGGTTTAGGGTCTAGCGATAGGATATTGTTGATTGAGAATGATGAAGGAACATTATTAGTTGTTGTTGATATGATTGTAGAGGGAGATGTTCTTTCATTGGGGGTGGGTGATTGACACATGTCATCTGCTGATTGATGACTGTCTCTGTGTCCTCCAAGGTCTTTGTTTTCAACTTGCTCCTTTGTTGCCATGGTTTCTGCATACTGTTGCTTAGCAACTTCCAGTTCTTTCTCCAAGTGAGAACATTTAGTTCTTATATCTTGTGTTAGTGTTGTTTGTTCAGATAACTGGTGTTTAATGGTTTTTAGTTGTTGTTGTAGCGTCATTATGGTYGACTGCATTCCTTCGACTTCTTCATCCAACTGTATTACAAAACCATTCAACTCTTCATGAAAAAAATATAAAAACAGTGAGTTCCTGGTAGAGAAACAAAACACAGCAAAGACAAAACACATAAAAYAATWCAAAGCAAAATACTTCTTACCATCTTGACTACTCTTTAATTCATCACTATATTTTTTCTGCAGGGCTAATTCTGCCTCTAACTGTGCRACCCTTCCTTGTGAAAGCTGCCGTCCAAGCTCCTGATTCTCTTGAATCAACATCCTGCATTTAGCCATGAGCTTCTTGCCAGTAACACTATCACAAAACAATAATAACTCAGAAAACAAAATTACACAATGTAAGTTTTCCAATGAAGAAGCAAGGTAAGTTCACTTTCTATAGATAAAACTATCTATCCTAATAAAAGTAGACTTGTTTTTTCAACTACCTTTGCAAATTATGGAGTATGTTTGGTGCTTTTTTGTAAAGAAACCAATTTTACCTGTCTGCAGTAAACTTCCAGGCACCAAGGTCACCCTGCGCTTGCTCAAGCTTTTCTTTAGATTCATCTAGCTCTGTTTTCATTCGTTGAAATAGAAGATTTACWGCTGGATCCAGGAGAGTTGACCGCATTTGAATTGCTGATGGATTCTGAGCTTGTTTCATGTCATGAATCTGTGTCTGTTAGGAATGAGATGATAGTAATCAAGCTTACAGCTCCCAGCGTCCTGTTCTGTTAAGTAACTATGCACAACTATTTCAAAAAAGATTGCCTGACCTTCAAAGATGATAGGCAATACACAACAGGCGTATACCTAATTAAAGATACTGCCACAATTAAAAAGACAACACTGAAACTAAGACYAAATGGGATGCTAAACAAACATGCATATTTTAACATTTCTCATCAAAGRTGCTATGATAATTCAGTCCAGTTTTTGGAAGCAAAACATTGTTATACAACTAAAATTTGTCTTCCCAAGCTACATTGCAGTCTTAGCTTCGATGTTCAAATTAGAGTATACTTGAAGATAATAATTCCACGTTTTTGATGTAATTTTATGATGTTGCTCTGCTTCTTTCTTAGCTTAATTGGGATTATTTTACAAAACATTCCAGTCTGTTATGCATTGCCTGTATGCATCCCTTATGCCAGACAGACTTTCTTGAAATAGTTGTATCATGAATGCATTCTCACAATGATGACAATACTATGGACTGGTGTWTTTGCCCCTAGCAATCAAACTTCTCACTGTTTAGATTTTATTCTGGTTTTAGGAAGATTCTCTGGAGCAGATCTGAGTTTTGATTGACAGATGCAAAAATCCCAAAAGGCAACTTGTGGTATGAACACTGTAGTATGGATAGCGATAAAAATTGTCGCTTCATCACATTCAATAATTGTGTTAAAAAGTTTCAGCAGCATCCACTGTCATCTCTTATAGTGCTTTTTTACAAAATGGTCATTATAATTTACTATTCTACTCAAGACAGTCGTGAACTCTGCCAAAACAAACATATACACTTAATTTGAAAAAAACAAACAAACAAACAAATAAACAGACATTTTCCAGAAAATATCAAAACAAGTTACTATGACCACATTCAAAAGTTACTGCCTTAATGTTTAACTGCTTTTAAGCCAATTTAGGAATAAAAAACTGGAAACTTTGTATTGAAATATGCTTTCCAAATGAGAAAATTATGAAGATATAATAATAATRTTTTTTTATTAGTAGCAGTTATTCATGAAAGTGGTCATTGCAATAAAAATACTCAAGCTTTCATTTTGTATAACTCAGCCTTCAACTTCTTTGGTTGTTATTCAATTACCAAGTAAAGATGTGAATTTTCCAAAATAATTTTATTTACTAAAGTTGGTGTATACTTGCCCATCATGAGGGTACAATGRAATCTAGTAAAATTATCATGATTTCAAAAGACAAATGTGTGTAAACGAGTTTAGAATATATACACATCTGTTTGTAAATGTGATAGTTTTACAGTTAATTCTATTGTAACCTCAGGACAAGTGTAAGTTCCCAAAAGTTTGATAAATAAACTTGTGAAGGAGCTTGCTTGTTCACTTGATATATTGTTTTAGTCTCTGTTTCAAAACCTTCTCAAAGTSCGGAAAATTCAAACAGAAGGCAGTGATCAAAATCCTTTCAAATGTCATGATTTTTATTTGAATTTATGAAAAATTTAGACAGAGAGTCTTCACTCCTTTTGGCAAACTACATAACATTAAGTTAAGAGGCTTAAGTATACAAATGGAAACTGTAGGATTAATGGTTTTGTATTTTCTACTTGTCAAACATTTGTTAAATAAGAGTARGATGACATGATGGGCTCCCTAACCAATGATAACATGCTGATGTTTTATTCATCAGTTTCATCAAGATTACCAACCAACCCAATCARGTCTGTCAATTTTAATATAGCAAGACAAACCTTTACCAAACAGAACATATGCTGGTCTCTAAGACTATTCTGACTGCATTCCTCACATTGAACCATCTCATACAAGTATTGAAATACACAACTCTCTGATTAAGTGTTCTTACCAAGTTGTCTGATCAAGTCTTCCATTTGATCAAGTSCTCTTATCAATTGCAATTACTTACAATAACTCCTTCACTTTGCTATGATATGTTAAGCCATTCTGAACTGATCAAAAGTTCTGATCAACTCTTCTAAATTATCATTGTTAGGCGTTCTGATGAGCATTTTTCTTTCTTTTTTTTTATGTGTCAATCAGAACAATGCTGTATGTCAAACTATAGTTAAACAGTAGGTATACTACTGGTACTATCATCTTTTCTAATATGAAAGCTTCCGATGCAAATGTACCTCAATTATTACTACATGCCATACTTGCTGTAACAGCTTTGATTAACGATTCCGATCCATTCTCCTGATTAGTAAAAATACTTAATTGCACTCATCCTCTTTGACACTGGAATGTGCTGGTCAAGAGATCTGATTGACAGTTCTAAATAATAGAATTGTTCTGATCAAATGTTCTGATCATGAAATATTGTTTTGATTAACAAGAAAATGTTCTGATCAAATGTTCTGGTCAATAAAATTGTTCTGAACAACTATTCTGTTCAAGAATCATGCAATTAAAATGTTCTGATAACAAAATTGTTCTGATCAAATATTCTGATCAATAGAATTGTTCTGGTCAACTGTTCTGATCAATGAAATTGTTCTGATCAAATGTTCTGAACAATGAAATTGCTCTGATCAAATGTTCTGATCAATGAAATTGCTGATCAAATGTTCTGACCAATGAAATTGCTCTGATCAAATGTTCTGATCAATGAAATTGCTGATCAAATGTTCTGATCAATGAAATTGCTCGGATCATATGTTCTGATCAACAATATTGTTCGGGTCAAACATACTGTTCTGTGGTTTCTTGCGCAACCATTATACAGTGCATATCGACCTATATTGACCAACTGACCAAACACCAAGCCATTTGTTGTGCTGTTTAAGTTCTCACCAGTAAATCTTGGACTTCATGTTCTTTGGTAGCCAGTCTCATAACCAAGACGTTCTCTCTTCTTGTAGATTCCTGCTGCTGTTGTTTGAGCTTTTCTTCTGACTCTCGCAGTCCAGCAAGCTCACCTACAATGAACAAGAGATATATTTTGTTGAGTACACTATATTATAGCATCTATGAATGGTCAAAGCATTACTTTAGATGTTCCTAATATTAAATCTATCTTTATATGTTAGCTAAATGCAAGGCAGCAGTACTAACTTGCATTCATCGACATACTGAAAAGGTAATTCTGTAGTGTGCTAAATATTACATTATAGGTTAATGCRTGTGCATGTTGAATATTCTATAGATMTTTGACAAAGAACACTTCATACAAAGGTATATACTAACTGTTTGAAGTTGGGTCTCCACCATTCATTTTAGACTCTAGATAGTCAATGTAGTCATCTTGCTCTTTCCATCTACACAAGAAAACAGAAAACAAATTAAATAAAATCATTATGCTTGTTCTTATGCTTGTGTTAATGCATTAGCCTTGCAGCCGAAACTCTTAACCACATGAACATCGACTGATTAGCAGATATTGTATGAATGTGCAAAAACTACAAACAACTTTTTGAGTAGGACCATCCTGTAGCTGATCTAATGTGATACTGTTAACAATAGATAAGGTTAAGTGACTGTTTTGTTTTCCTTTAGAAACCTGTTCTGTCTAACAGCCATACATATATTTGTATGCTTTAAACAGCATGTACAGGTTCTCAAAAGTACTCTTGTCAAAAAAGCAGAAATCACATTTYRTAAACTGCAATKAGGTATTACTTAATGTTTTAAAGAGAGATTTTATGTTTTTCATTTCTTTATATTGGGAAAAATACTGCCAATCAGGGTAAAAAAGGATTGAAGTTTAAGTTATAAAATGAAGGTTTAAGTGAAAATGAAGATGTTAGTGACAGTTCGATAATTAAATAAACTTATCACAACAAATCGTTTCATATTTCAATCATATCCTTTGAATTACACTTGAAAATATGTAGACTAAAACAGTCATAAAAATATAACTTATACATGCTATTTTTAAAACATGTGCTAGAGGTTTCAAAGACATAATTACGTGACATATAAGCTTAAGAGTACGATGTTTGCGACGCTAAAAACAGCCTGAGATTTAAGCTTACTTGGTATAGAATTCAGACGTTTCTTTCAACTCCGTAGATCCCAGACGAATCTAAAATAAGAAGCACAGATTTTCTCTTGTAATTCCGAGCACGATTCACAAATACATAGCGACAAATTAGTAAAGCATAACATTCTGTTTACCCGTTTTGGAGCCGGTTCGTCCTTGTCAACTTCCGAGGATGAAGTTTTTGGAGCTATGAAAAATATAAATCTTATCAGTTTAAGTGGAAATCTAACGATCAGAAAGGTATTTCTGCTTTACCTGTTTCTTTCTCAGCCATTTTAGCTATTCCTCAGGCTATTGGAAAGCACATTTTATCRATTTTTGACAATTAATTCGATTGAATTCCATCCACAGAAAAGGGACCTTGGTGCATGTGTTGAGAGGGCGCGCGCGCAAGGTTGTTCGGGAGCTTATAAAACCCCGTAGGGGAGAGGRTGAAGAAGTTATRTCTTATTTCTCAATTAYTTTAAAGAAATGCCCMTTAAATCTTTAAAAATTGCATYTAAAGCCTTTYTAATCAGATTTTTAGTWGATYTGAGTACAAATTTTTAATCTTGAACACTTTATTTTCCCATTTGTTGGCGTAAAYAAYRATAATTTATGACCCCTCCCGGATATTTTMAAAGATTCCSTCCTCGAAAGAGAGGCTAATTTGCATGYCAGTATTCAAGATGGCGGACGAAATGTTAAAAWGAATAGCTGGATAAGTTTTGTTAGAAAACACTACTTTTGACAATTMAAAACTGGACAGGTTTGTCCTGAAGTGATCGATTTTAAGATGGCGGACTACGAAGAGGATCARCGCAACGAGATCGAGGCAATAGAATCGATATATCCTGAAGAATTTACAAGTAAGACTAGATTTATTACTTTATAAAGTCTTATACCTTAATAACTTAAGTTATTCTTAAACGTTGCATGATTCTGTCATTACTTTCCAACTTATAATACCTTTAATAACATGAAGTAATCTTTGCAGCATGCCAAGACTTCAWATTAAGTTAATAAGCTAATTTTTCAGGTATTTCTGAAGAAAAACCYTTTTCATTTAAAATTAACCTCAAAACGACAAAAGAAAAGACAGAWGATTATCCAGAAATCACAGGTAAAAATTAAGATGTCAGATATTTCAAAAATAAATATAGGTCAAAGGAATAGGTTGACTTTATGGACGTGACTGCTATCACCATTGCGATGCTGGTCAGTGGTCGCTCAAAGCTGGGTTACACACCTTATTGGTCATGCAATGGATGATATTGGGTTGCATGTTTGCTGAAATTTGACTTAATTTTTCTCACAGTATAGGTCATGTTCTCATTCAACAGTGATTGTTTGTTTTTAGTTTATTATTGTTTCTTGTCCTTATTATTATTGTTTGTTTTAGTTAGTATCGATATACAGTTTACATTGGTCGAGACATACCCTGATGAAGTTCCTCTAATAGAAGTCTCAGCCCTGGAAGGGATTAATGATGAAGAGGCTCAGGAAATTGAACAACAGTCATTGAAAGAGGTAAKTGTAACCATTTACTTTATCAAGATAGTCTTTTCTTGATAATATTTTTATATGCATTTGCTTTAAATATCAGATGAATTCATTTATTTGTATTTWTAGGCTGAAGAAAACCTAGGAATGGTGATGGTATTCACATTAGTGTCCTCAGCTCAAGAAAAAATCGAAGAATTTGCAGAAAACATAAAAAAGAAAATATTAGACGAGAAACGTAGGAGAGAAAAAGAAGAAGAGGAAAGAGAGAACAAAAAATTCACTGGAACTCCTGTCACAAAAGAAAACTTCTTAGCTTGGAGGGAGAAATTTAATGCAGATGTTGCTGAAAGACGGAGGCAAAATCAAAATGTTGTTTTAATACCAAAGTCAAAAAGAACAGGTAAAAAGGAGTTGTAATTATTATTTTAACAAAT